CCAAATGTTCTCACAAATTAAAAAAATCATATTATTATTTCAATTCATTCAGAAAAATTTGGTAAAATTCAAACCTAATACACAAAAATAATTATGAAATTGATATTAGAATTTGGGTTTGTTTACCTGACAAATTGATTCTGTTCTTTAAAAGTACAATTATTATTCTAATTGTTAAACAGTGGAAGATTTATTTTGAAAACCTTGAATTGTGCAATGAATTATATAGTCATCACTTATACCCTATTATAATAGCGGGTGTTGTAGGCAGAACATGAAGAAAAAAATTACAAATAGTTGTTGGAATTGGAGATATTATGGGTACCTATGCCATAATCATTTACATAGACAATCTTAAAGATTCTACAAATAAATTATTAAATATAATGAGACTTTGTCAAAGTGACTGAAAATAAGATGAAATTTATATTCAAGGGCAAATCATATTAAATTTGCAGTATTTGATAATTTTGGCATAAAATTTTATATGTTGTGGTTCAATCTAATACAAAGCTTATTTTCAAATATGAAAAGCAAACAAAAATTACATAGTCTGTGACATCATTTAAAGTATTAATAAATGATATTAAATATATAGAAATGAGCTGACAGATGGTTTGCAAGTATTCTACACAGAAGAGTGTGAAATTCTATTATGGGAGAGTAAATGATGTTTAAGTAAATCAGATTTTATGCCATGATCAGAATAAGCAGAATTAAATACTGTAAAGTTGTTAGTTCTCTCTGATTGATATATGGACTCTGTAATCTCAACTAAAGTGTTATAAAAAGTATATTAATGAAAACTACAGGGTTTTACAAGGAACTTTATCAAATGATTCTGAAAATTCTATCAAAGATTAAATAGCCAAGAGTAGCCAGAACACTTCTAAAATCTGTATTGAGAAGGCATCTATCCTACTAATTCTTGAGACTTACAAAATTATTATGATTAAAATACTGTGGCACTAATACAGAGATTCAAAAGAAAAAATATAATTAGTCAAAGAAATATACCCATGAATTTATGAAACTTTATGTCATACAAGTAATATTTTAAGTCATAGGCAAAATAAGAATAGAATAGAAAAATAGCTAGGTATTAAATTGGATTCCTACCTTCAACTAAATACAAAACTCAATTTTAGGTAATTAAACCATTAAATGTCAAAAACAAAGCTTAAAATTAAAGGTAAAATGTCTCTTAGATTTTAGTAGGAAAATTTTATAAACAAAATACAAAATATTCTTCTAAAATGAAATATTGATAAATCTTTCAATGTTAAAAGGAAGAATTTTGACTAGGAGATAACTTGTAAAAGTGAAAATGTCATATAAACTAGAGAAAAATATTCTTTCTACACACAAGCAACAATATATAATTGTCAAAAATAATTAAACTCTTGTCAATTAAAAAAAAACTTCATAGAAGAATGGATAAAAGACATGCAAAAACATTTCATAGAAGAGGAAATACAAATAACCAATAAATGAAAGAAGAGTTTCTCAATATCTTTAGTGATGAGAGAAATGCAAAACAAGATTACATTGAGGTTAATTTTTACACTCTGTTGATAGGCAAAAAAAAAAAAAATCAATGGACTAAAGATGAAGCTGAATAGTAGAGCACTTGCAAGGCATGCCTGAGGTCCTAAGATCAGTCCCCATCATCTCTGCAAACAACAACATCAACAACAACCACAAAAAGGAGTATTCTTGATCAAAAGATTTGCACATATCAGCTTTCTTAAACTTTATTGGTGGGAAGCTTAAATGGCATGAGAAATTTTGCAAACAGTTTGGTGTTATAGTAGTTGCCCTATATCTCTTCAAGGGATTCATCCCAACCCCCCTCCAAAGGTCCCCCCAAATGTGAACACTACTGTAAAATAGTTATATTAAATTTTTCCCAGTACATACTTGCAGTAAATGGTTCAGCGCCCTTCATTTCAGGGTTTTCCCTACCAAAGATTCTTTTAGTCTCAATGCTTTCTGGTGTAACATATTGCCATTGATCCTTTCTTTCCTTCACAATTTCACAGATGGTTCTTACTGTAGATCTTAGTAAGCTCCCTGAATTTTTTTTCCTTTTTTTATTAAATGAGGAACTTTCATCTTTTCATCTTAAAGAATTACTTCATATTTTCTCCTTGTCATAGCCACATTTCCAGCCTAACTATACTTAAAATGTATATTGGGGCCAGCAAGTGAAGTAAGGGTTACTTGAACATTAGTATCATGCTACCATGATAGGTACAATAATTAGGATGACTACACAAATTATTTATTTCTGGAATTTTCCATTTAATATTTTCAGACTGTGGTTTACCATGGATAATTGAAACTATGAGAAGTTAAACACTAAAAATGGGACTGCTTTATCTTGTAAAATTGAATACTCACACTATGACACAAAAGAATCTATAGGCATATATTTGAGAAAAAAAATCTTGCCAATATACAAAAGGAAACCTATACAAATATTTTAATAGTCAACATCTTTTACAGTAGCAAGAATCTGGAAATCATTCATATGTCTAGTGGAGAGGAAGATGGGTGAAGTATTTGTATAATTTTATAAGATTATGTCAGACTGGATGTACAATATTGAAAAGTTGACAGCAATAGTCTTGATATCTAGGGTTTATAACTTTTATAGAAATATAAATAGAAAAAA